AGGGAAAATGGAGAATAGGAAACATATGGCAGTTGTATGTGTGGCAATTTGTTTTACTTACCAGTAACAAAACTGCTTGAAATATTTGATTTTTGTACACACTTACAACTTATTTACAAATGACTGCATTTAACATTTTCTTCCCACAGTGCTGCTATGACATCAGAGGGCCCCGTTACACCTGACACAGTGAACTGCATAAATGTTGACTGGTGTTGGTGCTAGCTCCAGTTTGGAGCAGTCATGCTTCAGGCAAGCAGGGGCCTGAAGGACTGAAAGGTAAGAATCCACCCACCACTCCCATCCCAGGCAATCCCCGGTCCCACCCCTCCGGGACTACCTCCCTGCACCTCAGGGTTTCCCTCCTTCCCCCTCACCCCTGGGTCACACCTTCCCCCACTTACTTGTGGCTGCCCATGCTGGCTGTCCCAGGGAAGCAGGCAGGGAAGGGTTCTCTGGAAGTTTACAGGGAGTTGCTTCCGAACAGAAAAGGTCATACAATCTAGGCACCTTAGACTAACCTACAAAGATTGAATCAATTCAGACTCGAGCTTTTTAACTGTATGTACTTAGCCCAGAAGAGGACAGGTCCAGGTTTCTAAAACCATAACAAGTAAGCAAAGCTGGCTTGTATCATGAATTGATCAAAGGTGGGAGCTGACCTTTTGAGATTCCATGATCTACAGCTGTTTTACCTTAACTCTTGTTTTCTCCCCAAGAGAAATACTTAAGGGTTTGGATCAATGGTTGCAACTGATAGGAATGACAGTTAGCCTGAATCTGTAACATGAAAAAAAAAAAAAACCAAACACCACTCTCAGCATTCAGTAGGAAGATGTCCTGTTAAATGGGCAGCGAACTCATCACTCTTTACAGAACTGAAGATACCATTTAAAAATGTCCCTCATAAGGTTGAAAGTTGATATTTCAATACTTCCATGTTCCTTGATTTTGTCAGCCTTGTCATATTTAATGTTTTAATTAAAAACACAGTCCCTGAAAATGTATTATATAAAAATCTCAGCTTTCACCTAAAACAAATTTAAAATGTCTAGGTCTCATCGTTTAGGAGAAAAGTGTGAACATAGGAACTAAAACTGAGAAACCACAATGGCAAAAATAAACTTTTAAAAAGTCTAATGATATCAAGTCAAATTTATGATTTCCAGGAGCCTGGATACTTGGGATTAGCAATACTATGCATTTCCAAGTCAGAACACAGAACCTGTGATTCTCTTGAGGCTCATACCTCTTCAATATAGCAGAAGCACATTAAAGCTGCTGCTTTCTATAAAATCTACAAGGAACTACACAGACAAGTATCAGCACACTTGTGGAGCAGAGGATGATCCAAGAAAGAGCGCCTCAAGAGAATGGCAGGTAGAATGGCAACATTTTAAAGCTAGGGCTGATGAAAGGCTTATGGAAGGTCATGGTACCAGAGAAACGATCACCGTATGATGCTATCAACTACAGGAAAGTTTCAGAGAGAAATTGTCTTTTCCTTTCCAGTTGTCAAGGGAAATGGTGGCTTTCATATTTTGATGTCTACAAGCCAAAACCTGACTTAAAAAAAATGATCCTTGAATAGGGTCCAGGCATAGTATTCCATCCCAGCAAAAATCTTAGCACACCTCTCCTTTCTTGAAGTTATGGGGAGAAGTAGAACCTGGCTTCTTCCCAAGGCACTAATTTAAAACCTTGTTTACTAGCTGGCCCTGCCTATCGATACAAGATCACTCTCAGTTTTGCAGGTCCCCTCTCCTTGTTCACCAGCACCACCAGGGCCATTGTGGCTGGCCTGGTAATTTTCCAAACTCTTTTATATAACTACCTTTGCCTGTCTTATGCTAAAACACTTTACTGTGCTCCCCCACAGAAAGAGTTCTCTCTCCTCCACTTTAATTGTTTCTGTTATGGCAAACAGAAACAGTCATTTTCTTTCTTATCCCAGTTAGACAGCAAATGCTTCTGGGTAAAGACTTGCTTCTTTACATGTTCTAAGAAGCAACCTATGGTGTTCAGTCAAGTTCAGTAACGGTAAATAGTATGTGCTCTATACATTATGCATAAGAACATAAATTACATACTCGGTCAAATCAATGCTCCACCTAGCCTAGTAGTCAGTCTCTGACAGTAGCAGAAATGGATGCTTTAGAGTGCACTGAACTGGATCTCTCTCTTCTCTTTTTCAATACCCTCCCTGGCATCAACCATTTATTGGATTAGAGATGCCAGATGAAACATCTCCAACCATTGTGTTCACTAGCCATTAATAGATCTATCATCCATTAATCTATCTAGTGCCTTTTTAAACCTGGCTATGCTATCTTCCTCCACCACCTCCTGTGGCAACGAACTCCACAAGTTAACTACAAGTTGCATAAGAAAAGTACTTTCGCTTGTTAGTTTTAAACCTATCATCTGTTAATTTCAGCAGGTGACCCCATTTCTAGTATTCTGGGACATGGTGAACAAGTCTGTTGGTCCACACACCAGTCCTATTCACACCCTTCATGATTTTACAGCCCTCTATCATATCCCCCCTCAGCCTTCTTTCCAAAAAGAGTCCTAGCCTTCTCAGGGCCTTAGCATAAAAGTTACTTTAAAACTGGCATAAAAGCATTTAAAACAAGAACAGTCATTAGGTAATGGGTATTAAACTGCCGTAAGTACCCTCTAAATGTTTTAAAGATAAACCACTCTAAAGAAGGTACATCCTGGAAACATTTTACCTATGCCGTTCCAGGGTACTGTTTGAATGGTCAGAGGAAATGAAACGCATTACTTTCGTTCCTCCGGTATCCAAGGATGCTCAGCTCCCAGCTGCTCTACCCCCTTATACCCTCCAAAACTAGTGGTTCCCCACCTCCGTTGTTGAGAACAACTGATCAAAGCTTAATTGCAGAGACACCCTGGATCTGGGGAGGCCTGCAAGAAGTTCAGTTGCATCCTGAGAACAGAGCCCCAGAGAAGCAGCCCCTGGGGCTAGGTGCTGGGGCTGAAATTGATGCCAGCAGCTGGGGGATGCTGAAGATGGGAAAAGCATGCAGCCAGCACAACCCCTATATCCCCCCTACCCCCCACACTCTAACCTGCCTCACCTCAACAATTTTTTTTCAAAATTTCTCCCCTCTCACTCTCCACTCTGGCTGGGCTCCTGCTGGAAGTGGAGGGAGAGAAGACCCTGTGCTGGTTTCTCTGCCTCCCAGCTACATGCCACCCTCCTCACTCCTCTCCCACCACAGGGGAGAAATAAGAGTCCTGGCTCTTGTACACTCCCTTGGCCCAGAAACTGCGGGGCTGCTTTTCTGTCCTCATCCAACTCTCAGGGCAGAGTTTCACTGGGCAGTGCCCCATGGCTCCTTGGACTCATTCTAGTGCCAGTGGGCACTGTTCAGTGTGCCCCGCTCTATGCCCCTTTCAGACCCCTTATTTTGAACCTGTGACCTTGCTCTCTTCCCTGTTGTCTTTTTACTTTGTCCCAAGAAATTAGCTGCTACTTTCTCAGTAGCCTCCCTTTTTAAGGGAGGCTTATAGTTTTTGTGGGGGAGGGGGGCATTGGCCCACAATCCCTTAAAGTAGCAAATAGGCCTGTCCACTCCCCTGCTCACCAGCCCTGTAGTGGCAAGTCAGTCAGGAAGGTCTGAAATGACTCAAAGCCATCACCCAGGACTGACCTAAAAATGCTGTCATTTTATGTCATCACAACAGTCCATTTCTGACATTATACCGGTAACCTGTACCAAAACTATGTCTCTCTTGATATGGCAACTACTCCAGGGCCCTGATCATTTTGGTTGCCCTTCCCTGTCCCTTTTCTAATTCTAGTGCATTCTTTTATCATTCCTCCAGCATCCCAGGAAGCACAGCTCCCAGCCACTCTACCTCTTCCTACCCTCCAAAACCCCAGTGGTTCACCACCTCCCCTGCTTCCCACTGGCCATGTCTACTCAAGACACTGACTGCACAGCTGTATTGTGCAGTCATTTAGTACTTGTATAATCAAGTAGTAAATGACTACACAGTTACCTGGTGTTGCTGCGCAGTAGCATCCTGGCAAGGTTGCCTAGTGATGCTTCCTGTCCAGTAGCTAGTTACTACTGAGCAGTAGGGTTGCATCACAATTCATGCACAGTGACACTACTGCGCAGTAAGCATCTTGTGTAGATGAGCCACTGAAAACTGCTCTGAGCTTAATTGCAGAGACCTCAGAGCTGGGGAAGCCTGCTTCCCTCAGCTGCATGGTACCACTGCAGGAAGCAGGCAGCCATTGCCACTACGCAGCCGCATCACCAATTCTGATTGTTGGATCACTTTTGCTGCTACAGGCAGGACGTTTCCTTAAAGCCCCAAGGCCAGAAGGAAGAGACCATGCACCAAATCTTCAGCCTTTGTTTAAAAAAAATTCTAAATTTTCTACTCAAAGGTCAAACCAGAGACCCCAAACACCAGAGGCAATTTAAAAAAATATATATATATTTTAAAAGTGCCAAGCTTTATCTTCCAAATAATAATAATTAAAAAAAAAAAAAAAAAAAGCGAGTGGGGGGAATCTCACAATTTTTGCAGCAAGGGCTTGTTTTCTGGGAGTAAAAAACTTTGAAAGGTGATTCCAAACCTGGAAGCAATTTAAAAAAAATAAAATAAAATACAGCCAAATGTTCTCTCTATCTATCAACAGATATATATAGAAAGAAAGAGATAACATTTGGCAATATTAGATAGATAGATCTATATATAATATAGTTATATAATATGAGATCTCTCTATATTATAGATATGTGTGGGGGTACAGGTTATATTTTAAAATATATCTGTTTATTTAAAAAAAGAGGATCTCGTGATTTTTGTAGTGAGCAGGTGATTTCTGCGGGCCACCCACGCCTCTGAGAGCTCGGCAGTGGGAATTGGGGCGCGGGGGCAGGATGCCGCGGGGCTGGCGCGGAGAGGAGACGGCGGCAGGGGCAGGGCGAGGACACGCAGGGCTCTGCTCTCACCTGGTCCACGTAGCTGGGCACCTCGTGCAGGCTGCGGAAGGAGCTCTCGCTGGGCTGCACGGCGTAGAGCAGCGCGCGGAGGTGCTGGGACGCGGGAAGGGCGGGCGCGGGGCTCCCCGCAGCCATGGCGCTGGCGGGCCGGGGCAGGGGACCTTGGCGCCGGGCGCGAAGGGAAGTGACTCACCGGGGAGAAAGTTCACGGCGGGCAGCGGCGGGGGGGG